TTTTGGACATCAATTACAGAATTTATTAATTCTTCGCATTCTTTCTCTTCTGATTCATCGAGTTTTCGTTTCTTCGGTGCCTCACAAGCCGTCGACTCAAACACATCAAACAGATCCATGTCTTCACGACTTCAATGCGAGTCTGTTTATGACACCAATTGTGAGAAACATGTGACCATTAAATGGCAAACAATGAGAGTCTATGTGACAGTCTGTGATGTGAAGATCACCCCTACTGTCAGCCAATGGGAGGCCGTTCTCACTGTTTGCCTGCAATTCAAATGAATTTGAAATTGTCATTCAATTTGGCATTCATTTGGGATTAAATTGCATTCAAATAATTGTTTATGTATTTTATATATTTGTAATCATTTGTGAATAATGTATGCACTGTGGGCTCAATGAGTTCAATATGTATGTCATTTGTAAGTATTCAATGAATTACTGTTACAGAAATGCATGTAATCTATTGTCTACTTTGAAGCTATTTATTAATTCATTCAATTTATTAAACTATTAATTGTGATCATTAAATATGACAGCATGCACTCATTCATTACCTTGCCAATTTTCCAAATATAATGCACATGTAACATACAGTACTTATTTGGTGTGACTCACGCTGCGTGAGAAATGTGTCAAGCTACATTTCATAATTCATGCAAACTTTTAAACAGGATATTTTTGGTATTTTAGTAATAATGTACCTGATATATAGCCACTTTGAATACAAGTATTATACAACTAACGAGTGAGATATTATTTATTGTTATCGCAGTTATAGACTATAACTTATAGACTAAAAAATTTAGTAAAAAGCAGCCAGTTTTACCTTGCACATTTTAATATGCAATACACTGTATTGAATAAAGTATTTTCATTTTACTATTTATATTTCAAATATATATTTTTAATTTAAATTTTATAATACTTTATACTGTACTAACATAAGAATTTTGACCTTAAACGTATAAAATATACAGTATTTAAATTAACATTATTTTTCAAAATGTCATTTACCATAGGTTTTAATACTGTATTGAGAACTGTGTTCTAACTGCTATGTTATCGTAATTCAATTGATATACACTCACTGGTCATTCATTGTAATATACCAAGTTGATTAATTGTAACTTTGTGGCAGTTAAATAGCAGAGTGACCAAAGTGACCAGGCACAGTGAGGTGACCTACTGGAGACAGTATCTTATATTACATGTCATGCGTGTTCTGGTGGTGCAGTCAGTGGTGTTCAGTAGCGTTGAGTCTATTGTTTACTTCACTGTCAATGCATTGACTGACTATTGATTTGTTGTGTTTTCGGTTATAATCACTATTATTGCTGTTAATTATGTTTTTATTATAATTAATAGCAATTACTTCACTGTTTTCTCATTTAATCCATTATTTATGCTTTTGTTTGCAATCGAGTTAATCATGAAATCAAAATATTTGTAGAAATAATGAAATCAAATCAAATCAAAATGAGTTGAAAATGAAATGTCAGACAATTGTATGGATGAGTGATTGAGTGAGAGATGGATTGAGATGTTGTCGGTCTGTGACCTCAAAGTGTGTTTCTCTTCCATCGAGTTCTCCCTCTTCTTCCAACAGAGTTGTTGTCCTCTTTGTCCCAATTGTGGACAACTCTTAGATAACAACCCCTTCAGCGAAGGTTTTTCTCCATCAATACTTTCACAATAATTATCTCATTTTGTGTGTATTTTCAGTGAAATTCTCGTCACTCGTAGTACTTCTTGGCGTCGGATCTCTTATATGCTATAAATTGATAACCAATAAGAAGAAGAAAAGAGAGAAAAGACTTCCGTTTGGTTTCGCGAAAGCAATAACTCGTGAGGACTCGCAAGAGATGAGCTCATGTGACAAATCCAATGCAAGCCTCAAATACAAAGTCTTCACTTCGACTCCATATGTCAAGTGGTGTCCAACCGTTGACTACACGCCTTCT